ACAGATGTTCCCAGTGAGTTCAGATGGTCAGAATTTGTTATGGGAGTTGGGGATCTCACCCTACGGAGATAGCGCCCCCCCGGAAGGGGGATGGGACAGGATTTATAAACGCTATATGGGCTCCGCAAGGGCTAAGGAACCTACCAGGGGTGTCCGGCCTGAAGGGAAGACGTACAAGGGAGAAGGCCAGATGAGCAGGTGACAGGCCTGGGAATGCAGCAAAGAGGCTGTAAACACAGAAAAGTTTGAGTCTCTGTTATGGTATTTGTCAATATCATCATCCATGCAGCGTTCAGGTGTTGACTGTTCCTTTTCATTTAACAAGCATCCTCATTTTTGCACACGCCCTCTTTTTGAGGGTACATGCTAACGGGGTGGGTTTCTCTGGCCATTTTCCCCACACAAGGATGTTGAATTTAATTATGGGAGCTATTCCCAAGCAGTTCAACTCTATTCACCTCTAGCACCTGTGCTCCTCTTCAGACTAAGTCAAGAATTGCCTCTGTCCTGGTGGGTTCCAGGGCCATCTGCTCCGAGAAGCAGTCATTAACATTATCTCTGCGTCTCGTCCTGAGATGGCATGTCCCCAGTCAATGACTATTATTGGGTTTTGTTTTTAAACCCGCTAGTCTCCCTGAGCAGTCACCCCATTGTCACTACCCGGGCCCAGGGGTCGGTAGGCTATTCCTACTGCTGTATTCTTATTAGCCAAACATGGAATTCCTAGCCAGAGAGATTCTGTAGTACCGTTTGAGGCATTTAACATTTTGACGATCTTCGACTCTGGTACCTCTCCCCCACCAGCATGATCTATTTTCATTCCTGCCGTTTTACCCTGATATTACTGTGTCCCATTGATTATCATTATTCCACCGAGTTACTGCGATGCTTATTAAAGCAATACCCCCTTCTAACACTATCCCAGAGGACACTACTGCCAACCTGATAGCAGACCTATGTAACTTTGTTCTCACCCACAATTATTTCCAGTTTGAGAACAACTTATACCTCCAGATCAGCGGCACAGCCATGGGTACACGCATGGCCCCACAGTATGCTAACATCTTTATGGCTGACCTAGAACAACGTTTCCTCAACTCCCGTCCCCTTTCACCCCTCCTCTACCTACGGTACATCGATGACATCTTTATGATCTGGACACATGGCCAAGAAACACTGGAGATATTCCACAGAGATTTCAACAACCTACACCCCACCATCAACCTCAGCCTGGACCATTCTACACGAGAGATCCACTTCCTGGACACCACCGTACAAATCAACAATGGAAAATTAGACACCACTCTCTACAGAAAACCCACCGACTCATACAGTTACCTACATGCATCCAGCTCCCATCCAGAACACACCACACGATCCATCGTCTATAACCAAGGCCTTCGATACAACCGCATCTGCTCTAACCCCACTGACAGAGACCAGAAGCTTCAGGATCTCTACCAAGCATTTATAAATCTCAACTACCCACCCAGAGAAACAAAAAAGCAAATTGAAAGAGCCAGACGAATACCTAGAAACCATCTACTTCAAGACAGACCCAAGAAAACCAACAATAGAACACCACTTGTCATCACCTACAACCCCCAACTTAAACCTGTCCAACACATTATCAATAAACTACAGCCTATATTGGAACAGGATACCATACTCAAAGAGGCTCTGGGAGACAGACCCATAGTCTCCTATAGACAACCACCTAACCTCAAGATGATTCTTACCAACCACCACAGGACATACCACACTAATACCAACCCTGGTACCTTCCCTTGCAACAAACCCCGTTGCCAGCTTTGTCCACATATTCATTCTGCTGATACCATTATTGGACCTAACCAAGTGAGTTATAAGATCAAGAACACATATTCCTGCGCATCCAGAAATATAATCTACGCTATCATGTGCCGAAAGTGTCCGTCTGCTATGTACATTGGACAAACATCTCAGACACTTCGCCAAAGGATTAATGCCCACAAAACAGATATCAGACAAGATCACAAAGAGAAAACAGTTTCTTGCCACTTTAACCAGAAAGGACACTCTCTAAATGACTTAGCCACCTGCATTCTGCTACAAAGACCTTTTACATCTGCACTTGAAAGGGAATCCTCTGAACTGTCATTCATGTTAAAATTCGACACTTACCAACAAGGACTTAACAAGTCTTTGAACTTTCTCACCCATTACCAAGACAGTTTCCCCAATTATCACCTGTAATACCATTAACTCACAAACATCCCACTCTCCCTACCTTTAATATCAGCAATTCACAGACACTTACCTTCCTTCCTCCCCCTTCCCACCCCCCCGCATCCCCCTTCTGTTCTGCAATGTGATTTGTCCTTTTCATATTTGTTCATTTTTTTAAATTGTATCCTTTGGTATATATGGTTGTGACTACTTTCTTCCACTATTTGATCTGAGGAAGTGGGTCTGGCCCACGAAAGCTCATCATCTAATAAACCATCTTGTTAGTCTTTAAAGTGCTACATTGTCCTGCATTTTGCTTCAACTACCCCAGACTAACACAGCTACATTTCTATCACTATTCTAACACCAGGTACTCCAAATTCGCCCATCTTAGTATTGAGACTTGTGTACATGCACTTACGACATTTGTCAATATTTAGTTGCCTGCCTTCATGTGATGCACTTGAATGGGACTCTTGACTTTCTCTTCAGTTCCTACTGTGACGTAGTGGGGGGGGTACCTTGCTGGTGGCTATGCTGGGCAGTGGGTTGTGGGTGACCTCCACTGGCTCTAGCAGGGCCCAGCAGGGCAGGGGATGAGTCATTATGCAAGGGGGCTTCGAAACTCGTCAGACGGGTATCTCCCAGGGAGTGGAACAATGGGAAGAAGGGGAGTGGCACCCTGGCTGGGGGCAGGGCTGGAAGCGAGGGAATTAGTTTCTGTCTGGTATCATGGAGGAAGCAGCCTAGGCAACTGGCTGGGATTTAGGGGCCCAGGCTTCCCCATCTCAAGGGGGGCGGAGGCATCCTAGGCCTGCCCTGGAACCAGATTCCATCTGTGCTGGGCTGTATCCTGGAGAAGCAATAAACTCCCTCTGTTCTACTGGCTGGGGGAGTCTGTCCGTGCCATTATGGGGGTGCAGGAGACGGGAAAACCCCAACGCACCGACACACCTACCTATACTAGGTCAACTTCTAGCCTCTCTTCTTTCCTAGGATATAGAGAATCCTTTAATAAATCTTCCACTAGGAGATTCTCTGTCTGAACCACGTGCTCCTACACACCTGTTAGGTTTCCCCCAGTCCTCAGTTTAAAAATTCCTCTATAACCGTCTCAATTTTACATGGCCAGGAATCTGCTTTCATTTTGCTTCAGATGGAGCCCAATAGTCCTGTACAGGCTTCTTCTTTCCCACACTGCACCCCAGTTCCTAATACACCTAAATTCTTCCTCCCGATACCATTGTGGCATCCAGGCAGTGAGACCCTGAAATGCCTGTGTAACCGGCCCCGCATGTGGAAGGCATTTCCGAAAATGCTCCCAATGGAAGTCCTGGATTTTCCTCTCTGACCTAGCAGCTTGGTTTTGGCCTCAAGGACCTCTAACCTGCCTTTCCCGATGCCACTGGTACCTACATGTACCACGACCACTGGCTCTGCTCCTCCCCAGCACTGCCCGCAATTGTCCCTAGAGGTCTCAAGAGCTCTGCAACCCGCTCTGCCTTGGCATGATTAACGCCCCTTCCCACTCCCAGGCACCAGGAGTTAACCCTCCTCCACGCACAGCCATTCCTGCCTGGGAGCAGCCCTGTGCCCCAGCTGCCAGGCAGATCACTAGCACAGCTGCATTGCACTAGCAGGGAAGGCGGTGGGGCCCTTGGCAGCAAATGAAGGCCTTGGCACTTTTCTCCACAGCCGGGGTGGGAGGAAAGACTTTTCAGGGCTCCGTCTCCTTCTGCTCCTGCCCCCCATCGACCCTCCCAGGAGACCAGGAGATGGAGGCAACTGCAGATCATCTGAAGAAGTGGGGTTTACCCACGAAAGCTCATGATCTTATATATCTGTGTGTTTCTCAGGCGCTATAGGACCACTCATGCTTTCCAATCATGTGTATCAAGTGCAAGGGAACGGGAGAGATTTCTTGAGTCTCTCTCTGCACACCACCCTTATCCCTGCCGTATCTATGTGCTTTCCAGGAGCGCAGTCCATGCGGGACTGGCGAGGTGCGTTCCTTCTCATGCCATCTCTCCAGGGGGACAACGATGAATCGGGTAGGGCTTGCAAATGGGCGAGTGTTTTGTGGCTGCTGTTGGCTTTTTAACCTACACCTCGCTCTGTGCTGATGTTGGAGAAGGCAGGTCATAGAAACGCCCTTTACACGGGGCGTTCAAGATGGGAATGTTTGTGATAGTCTTTAGTTGCTGGGGGCGTTCGTTTCATAGCTCCAACTAGGGTCTTTATAAGGGACTTCTCATTAAGACGTGAAACGTGCTCCTGATCTGTCGCTGAGCCCGGGAGCAAAGAGAGAGATGGCGCTGTGCTAGGTAGCAACCTGCCACCATCAGGGATGGGTATCTGCACCACACAGGCACCGAGGATCCAATCCCCGGCAAAGTATAGCCCTACCGTTGAGAGATGTTACTTATCTCTGAAACACACCTAATGGATCTTTCGGTTTTTATATGTTTGCAGCACCTGTCGTGTTTGCCTGCTAATGTCTTGTTGTACTGAAATAGAGACATAGCCGTACAGTGTCCGTCTGCTATGTATACTGGACAAATTTCTCAGACACTACGCCAAAGAATCAATGCCCACAAAACAGACATCAGACAGTTTCACAAAGAAAAAACAGTTTCTTGCCATTTCAACCAGAACGGGCATTGTCTCAACAACCTGATTACCTGCATCCTGCTTCAAAGAGATTTTAACACAAGATTTCAAAGAGAAGCCTCTGAACTGTCATTCATGCTTAAATTTGACACTTTACGAATGGGCCTTAACAAAGATACTAATTATCTTACCCATTACAAAGATATCAGAGGAATAGCCGTGTTAATCTGAATCTGCAAAAACGTCGAGGAGTCCTGTGGCACCTTATAGACTAACTGAAGTGTTGGAGCATAAGCTTTCGTGGGCAAAGACCCACTTCGTCAGATGCATGTAGTGGAAATTTCCAGAGGCAGGTATAAATATGCAGGCCAGAATCAGGCTGGAGATGAAGAGGTGGATCCAATCAAGG